CCCCAATGCTTCTGTGACCATCAGCAAGCACACTATTAACACAACACTTCAAAACTCAGGAAGGATGCTCTCTGCCGTTCAGATCTCTTTCGGTCCAGGAACAGCTTCTACCTAGTACGCATTTCCACCTCCTAGAGGACTCAGGCACAGCATCCTGAAAGCGAACACCGTGGAAGCACACTCCCTTCTCCCTCCTTCCTTTAAAGTCACTTTTCCAAGATCAACTGCACTCAAGACTCACAGGATCACCCACGTGCTGGGAGGGGGAGCCCGAGACCGCAGCGGCCTCCTTGGGGCGCTCTTGGAGGGGGGCCCCAGCCTGTTCTGCAGGGCCCAGTCCCAAGCCCAGAGAAAAAGGGCAGCGGAGCATCACTGCTCGGAGGCCGGCTTCTCGGCATCCATCACAGAAGCTGGGCCGCGTGGGCCAGGGACCTCCCCCTCGCAGCCGTCTCATCTAGGATGCTGCCCCAGAACCCAGGGCCCGAGGGACACTGCACGCCACCCCACAAAGGCAACGGGTACTAAAAACCCACAACCCAGCATCGCCTCCCCCACGACCATGAAGGTTACCCTCTCGCTCTCAGGAAAGGAAACGGGGTCGCAACTCTCCCCCTGATTCTGACTCAAGCCGCTCCGGAGAGTGGACCTGCGTCAACGATGTTCTCCTGGAGCCAGATGGTGCCCCAAGTCGACACCGGCCGCTGCTTCCTTCCCCGCCCTGGGCTCTCGGGGGACAGCAGAGAAGACCCCGAGCAGCCGGACGCACTCCTACAGGGGACACCCCACATCTCTGCAAGGACAGCGCAGCCCGGGCCCTCCTGGAGACACCCCCAAGCTCCTGCGCCGACGGGGCACCCCCGTATCCCTCCCAGACCTCCTCGCGGACGGCGCATCCCCGGGCCCCCCCTCGGGGGCATCCCGGGACCCCGCGACGGGGGCTCACGTCTTCCTCGACTACCTACGGGTGCGCCCCGCCGGATCTTCCCACGCCCAGGCCGGGCGGAAGCCCTCAC